TGTCCCAAAAATACGGTCTTAAATCTTACTTTGAGGAACGAAACTATTGTTAACTTTACATCACAACAAAAGTTCTATGTTAAAATACATTATATGAAATATGCGCACAAATCTAAACTAATTGTTACATTTTTCTCCCCAAAATTAAAATACAAATTTTTATTAAAACTATAAAGTTTAATCCTTGAATTTGTTTAAAACAATTTCTTCATAAAATGGTCTACAATTCATGGTTATATTTAATCGCGAGCACAAAAGAAAAATACCAGATAACTTTCGATGTATTGAGTAGATTTCTTCAGGTGGTGGACACAAACGGTGTGCCACCATTGTAGGCACTAAATTAGCAATGCGTTCTGTTGTATTCTGAAATATTTATAAGTTATAATAAATGGTAACTGTATCAATAATTTATATTAACTTGACGTCCGAAGTTGAATTCACCATTAAACCGAAAAATTTCGCCTAAAATCATTACAGCATCTATGTGAGCTTCTTCCATTTGTTTCGATTCATATCCGGTAAGAAATCCCATTTTCTGCGATATTTCTAAAACTCCTTGACGGTTGTTATTAGCTGCACAAATAATAACCTGGAAATACAAATATACCATATTGATATGAGTACTTGAAATTTTTTTTGTCTATTCTTTTATTTTAATCTATAGTGATTTTAACTAATTTCAAGCCTTAACGAAACATTTTCAATGTCAAAGATAATAAACCTTTCATATTTGCTGTAATAAAATTAAAAAATTAATAACAACCAAAGCACTTGCCGTGCTTTAAATTAGAACGAGCTTATAAACTACAGCTTTATTTTGGAAACACAAGTTCAACGAATTGAAAGTTTTAACTTTTTGGGTTTGCCTTATTCTTTATTTCTTTTCAAAGATACTCTTTTTGTAGAGACATATTGTACTGCATATTGTTTTACTTACTATATGTAAAGCGACCATTCTGGTGCTTTTTACAAAGAAGCTATGCTATGTTATTCTACAAATCCGCTTATTGCGGTTAGGAAAAGCTGAACAATATTATATTTTAACATATTGTTCTTTACTTTTCACAAGTCTAATATTTGAATAAAGTATTAGTGTTGCTGTTAAGCTAGACTTACTTTGTATAGGGACAAAGAAGCTTTATTAAATTTTTAGAGGGGTTTTGAATAACAAAGAAAGAAATAAAGGACAAACACAAAAATTTATTTTAATTTTATTGAAGTTTGGCTGACCATACAACGCTGCTTCGAGTATTGCCAAGTACTCTTCATCAGTGGTCTTTCGAAATAATCGAATTTTATTTAATTAGTTTATAGTCCGTATATAATTTGTTTGGACTGCAAGTGCCAGGCTTAGAACTCGTGCCTGTCAAATTAGAAGCGATGACTAATCGTGTTTATCCACAACAAGCCAAGGCTGCACAAACTTTCAATGCTCAAATTCCAGGTTTTTTATTGTCACTTATTTTTATTTAATTAGTGACACTAACCAAAGCACTTGCCGTGCTTTAAAATAGAACGAGCTTATAAACTACAGCTTTATTTTGGAAACACAAGTTCAACGAATTAAAAGTTAACTTTTGAGTTCGCCTATTCTTTATTTTTTTCAAAGCTACTCTTTTTGTAGAGACATTTTGTAATGCATATTGTTTTACTTACTATATGTAAAGCGACCATTCTGGTGCTTTTACAAAGAAGCTATGCTATGTTATTCTACAAATCCGCTTTCGCGGTTAGGAAAAGCTGAACAATATTATATTTTAACATATTGTTCTTTACTTTTCACAAGTCTAATATTTGAATAAAGTATTCGTGTTGCTGTAAAGCACTTTGGCAAGTGCTTTGGTTGGTGTCACTAATTAAATAAAAATAAGTGACAATAAAACCTGGAACTTGAGCATTGAAAGTTTGTGCAGCCTTGGCTTCTTGTGGATAAACACGATTAGTCATCGCTTTTAATTTGACAGGCATGAGTTCTAAGCCTGGCACTTGCAGTCAAAACAAATTATATACGGACTATAAACTAATTAAACAAAATTCGATTATTTCGAAAGACCACTGATGAAGAGTACTTAGCAATACTCGAAACAGCGTTGTATGGTCAGCCAAACTTCAATAAAATTAAAATAAATTTTTGTGTTTGTCCTTTATTTCTTTCTTTGCTATTCAAAACCCTTCTAAATTTTAATAAAGCTTCTTTGTCACTATACAAAGTAAGTCTAGCTTTACAGCAACACGAATACTTTATTCTAATATTATTATATATATTATTATTATATATATATATATATATTATTGCATCCCAGTGTCGAAAATGGTGCGTCTAGTGAAACACAAAAATCTACATAGATGACCTCCAAGAAAATTAAAGTTAAAGAAGATCATACTGCAAACTGTAAACCTTGTAGCATTCATGCGACCCTTTTTAATGAATTCCCAAGAGCTGGTCTTATTATAAGATAGACAAGTTAACCGGAAATTTACATATGACCTAAGTGTCTTCCATTTATTATTCATAGCTAAAGGAAAGTAGAAGTGAATACTACTCGTTACTATATCTAGACGAACATAGGCCGGTATCTAAATTTTCATTCCTTTCCTTTCCTATATTTAGGAACCCTTAATGAGTGTGATGTCAGGTAACCGATTTAGCTCGTCAACTGCCTCTCAACATTCTTCAACTAGCTTTGACTTCAAGATGGAAGACTGAAAAGCTTTGATTGCCACTTGGTTGTCAATAAAAATAGCAACGCTACAACTGTCCTTGATGTAAATTGCAATGACCTGTCGTGCTTCCCTTATCTTTAAACTTCAGCCTGTAGACCTTATCTCTAAATTTTAGCCTAAAAACCTTATCACTAACGCTTAAGCCTGAAAAACCGCCTCATTAGTTAGCCTTCCTTGGTTCATATCTATAAATAGGGCGAATATTCTTGTTCCTACCCCGTAATATATTTTTGAGCCGTCTGTAAAAATTGATACATTATAGTGTCTAAAAATTTCTTTGTATGTATTAAATTCGATATAAATATAGAATATAATCATGGACTACATTACAATTAGCACAAACATTAAGTTTTTATAGAAGCAATTATCTTTTTAAGGTTAGTGTAGGATTGAAAAGCATTTATTCCTGTAAACTCTATAAAATATAAAGTGAAATATCTGCATATCTTATTACTCATGTTTTAAAATTGGGAATGGGTACAGTACTTTCATTTAACATTAAATAACGCAATTGATATCTGAAATCTTGGATGCAATGATTTTTATTGGTGTATAGTACCTCTAAATCTGCAAATTTTATGAAATGTAGAGTGAAGCGGTCACACGTCGTATCTGCGCGAGTTTCACTGTTGTCAAAGAATTGGGTTAGTACTTCCATTAAACTTTCACTCAACCGATTGAAGTCTGAAACGTTGAATATAAAAAAAATGTTGATATTATTAAATTTATTTATGGTTTGGCTTAGAAAACTTACTCTAGGAATAGCATAAAAAAGCCAAAGGTGTCATTGTACATTAATGCTGCTTCTGACAACAATACTCTACTACTATCTTATTCTTTATTTACGAGTCCATTCCAAAAAAAGTAACAAATAAATTTTTGCGATAGTTGAAGCGCTAACCAATGGAATGAACTATATACTAAAAACAGATTATAATAATGCATGGAGAACAGATTTTACGAATCGGTAAGTTCGACAGTAAGTGTGGTGTGATTATACTTACTGTCAAAATCAAAAAAGCTAAACGTAGATAAATAGATAAATTTATGTAATCATTTACTGACTAGTACGAATCGAACTAATTGATTAAAGTTAATTCTAATAGTCAAAAAAGATATACAGTCAAAGTTCCATAACTCGAACTTCTATAACTCGAACCAAAAACAGTGCACTAAGGTTTTAGAGTTCTTCCATAACTCGAACTTCTATAACTCGAATTTCTCTATAACTCTATAAGTCGAATTTTTGTGTTAAGTATAAATGCATTTTGCTGTTAGGGGAAGTCCTTTTTTCCAAACCAAATGTTTAATTTTTTTCTTTCTTATGTTGCTTCTTTGTGCAAATGCCAGTCGCTGGCAGCGTGGTTTAAAGTAAATAAAATAACTTCCAATGCTGCTCTTAACGATTATATTGAGCTTGACAATGAAATTTGTACATGAAGCTCTCCTACAGATAACGATATTATTGAGAACTATAGCTCTAAATTACTGGATCCAATTCTAAGCGCAACCGAAACTGATGATGAGGGTTTCGTGGATGTAATTGTTTATCAGCCTTCCAAGAATGAAGTAGAAGACTCATTCAAAATTCAGAATTTATATTTGCAAACGAAAGATACTACAATTGATGATCACTATAAGGCCTTAAATAAAATGGAATGTATTTTTACTGAAAATAACAAAAAAAAATTAAAATCCCAAAACTAATTTCTAATTATTTTACTTCACTATAAGTTCTGTGCTGTATTTGATTTAAATAAATAAATAAATGTCTTAAAATATAATTCTAGTTTCTTTCAAAAATAAAAATAAAAAAAAAAAAATTCTCTAACTCGAAGTTTACATAAGTCGAACCTCTTTGCAAAATTGAACTTCGAGTTATGGAGGTTTGACTGTATTTACATAGATAAAGAGGTATTGATAAATTAATAGATAAATTTATCTAAGTACTATTTCTGTACAGAATACATTTTACTGTTTAGTTCGCACCAGTTTGTGCTAATTGTCAAAACTTAATTCTAACAATCAAAAAAAAATTTTTAGATAGATAAACATATATTGATAGATAAAATGATAATTTTATCTAAGTATTCTTTCCATGTTTACCTTCCATATCCTTAAAATCGGAACAAAATCTAACTTGCATACACGTAGTATTTGAGTAAATCTTGCTTGGCATTCACATTTTCACCATAAAATACATAATTTTATTAACAGCTAATTTGTTAAACAGATTAAAAATTCCCGAAATGCCCGAAATCTCCCTTCACACCCGCTCTCAACAATTTTGAACTTCAATTAATTAAACTGAAATGCAATTAACAAATCACACATTGCCATGCCGACAATAGATACGGGAGAGAACAATGTACCGAGGGCAGCTCGCACTGAAGTGGCCAAGCTGCTTAATTAAAGATTTCATTGCGCTGCACTTCGCTCGCTGCTGCTTTATTAGACGAAGTTGGTAGGAAAGCACGGCATGTATACAAAAATACACGCGTACCTTTCAGCAGCTTTGGTATAATTTATGCAACAACACTTTTTCCTTTCGTTCCTGCTGTTGCCAAAGAATATTTTGTAATAAACAAAAATGCAACTCTTAGCGCTTTTGATATGCAATAAGTGTTCTGGGCTGCGATTTATTGTTTATTTACACTGTAAAACATTAAGAAAAACAATATTTAACAGATAACAAATAAACGCCAATAGTTAAACGCCAATAGTGTGAAATTCAACATGCAAGAGAAAAGTTTTTTAAGCAACAAACAACAACAACAACAACAAACAATATCAATTCGCAGCAATGCCACTTCACTTATACGAATAAAATAAACTAAAACCGGCAACATCCAAAACAATGGCGCAGTCATTAGCATGTTTGTGTGTAGCATGTGCGCCCTT